CAGTCCAAAGGACAGCTTTTCAGATACACAGAGTGAAAGGGAATGGAGTAATATTTACCTTTTGGGTTTTTTAAGCAAGGAAATATCATTGAAAGGTGAATAAGGAAATGAATGAATGAATGACCTCTTTGGTTGCCCTGGTTATTATTCCCTGTTTATTTACTTTGCCTAAAGGAGGATATTTTAAATACTTTTTTTTTACTTCCAATTCATAAACTAGTAATTAGAGGAGTCAATTTATTTTCTGTTCACTACAGCAACATTTAAGTTCTGAAGCTAATCTTTTTAATGTTAGTGTTTATGCTACCTTGCTTTTTGTTCAGATATCCGAAAAGCACGCAATTTTCCTTAAATACATTAAATTTGCATATTGTAAGCTATTCTATTTTTTGCCATTAAGAAAAGATTTTTTTTCCTGTTGAGCGCTTTGGTCATTTTGATTTTTTCTCTGTTAATATTGAAACTACAAGGAATTCATGCCCAAGCCTTGTTCACTTGGGATGCAGGCTTACAGATAAGGCTTATAGTAGAAGGTGTCATTTTAAGCCTCTTTCCATGTAACATACTAACAAAAAGAAGGCTTTGCTAAGAAAATGTCATTTGTTAATAACTTAGTATATGTATTATAACTGTATCAGTGCTTACCTGAGTTCTGTATACTGTAGATAGTATAAGGATACGTGTTTAAGGATTTTTATCATCCGTTCCCTAGAATATATTCTTCTTGGAAAGGGGATTATTTTCATTAAACCACACGGTTGAAGGGAATTTTTAGATTTCCCAGTGTCATAATCTTTTTGAGGCTTAAAAAAAGTCTTTTTTTCCCTTCATCTTATCTACATAGTGGCCTTTCTCTGGCACCTCTGTGAACTACCCTTTCCTGCCTTTTCCTTTTTTTTTGTTCTCGATAAGGAAAACTCTTCTTAATGGACTGTTGCTTTGCATACATCAGGGATTTCAGCTGTTAGATTGTGTGAAAAATGAAGCAGGAGACATCAGATGGTGTGATGACTAGAACTGTTAACACAGTAAATACCAGGAAGGCTGGAAGTGTGAGCTAAAGCAGCTGGGGGGTGGGGGGCTGGGTGGAAAAGATGAGAGACACAGCTGGGAGAACCAGCAAGAAAAAATGGCCAGAAAACATGGGGGAGCTTAGCAAGAGAAGTGCAGCCCGAGGGAAATAAGAATGCAGGAGAAGGAAGCGACATAAGTTATGTTTTCCAATACTGCACAGTATACCTTAGCCCATATGCATTGTCCTTAGCTACTCCTTTCATTGCTGTACCATTATGCATATTTACTATGTAGTTTTCCTGGATGATTACTGTCAAAGGCTGAATATTGAAATTTTAATGGTAGTATATGTCTTTGCTTTGAGGTTTATCTTGTTATACTGACAATTTATGAAACCCATCATAGAATTCAGAAGGATTAATAACAAATAGCATATACTTGTTTAGAGATATATTTGATTTTTTTTTTAACCAGAGGGTATCACATTGCTAACATTTAACATTTGGACAAATAGGGGGTGTGTATAATGAGCTCGGTTAATAACTGGTTTGGTAAGTATATCCAGAGGGAACTGATTAATAAATCGCTTTCTTCCTGGAAAAAGGTTTCTGGTATTTGAACCTAATCCGATTCTAGTCAACATGAGGACTCATTTGGGTAAAACACTATAAATGCGTGTCCACAAACTGGGAGAGGTGGCTAATGTAATAACAAATGAAGGAAACAGAATTCGATAACAACTTGACATTTAATGCAATGACCCACATCTAAGACGCAGACATGGAACAGGGATGACAAGAGCACCTCACCACCACCACCAATTAAATTGCAAAAAGGCAGTAAAGAGAGATGTGGCTTAGCAGCATCATAGGTGAAACAATTTTAGATTTTGTGTTAATCAAGTAAAAGACTCATAGATGCCCACAGTATAATGTAGCTGGTGAGAAAAGCTTTGGTGATCGTAGGCTTTCTAAATAAAAGTGTAGCATCTGAACTGACTCAAATACGAGCTCCTCTTCCCAGATGCAGTGTTACTTCATCTGGAGAACTGCCTTCGAGCTTAGTCATTTAGAAGAGAACACCAGCAAATGAAAGTGTCAGCCCCCAGCATGTCTCCTCCTACCTTCCCTGTTTCCTCCCCACTTGGTCCTCTTGCATGCACTGTCTCGCTCTCCCCAGATGTGAATTCGTTCTCACTAAAGCAGGAAATACTAAGATGTTTAATCTTTAAACCCACAGTGCTGCAGGGCATACCACTAGTCACGTTCTCTCTGTGCCTCTCCCATAATCATCTTGCTCAATGCTTGTCTGAGTGTGTTTGTTGAATTTTGATCTCCCATGCTGAGAACGGTATTGCCCTGAGACTCACTCCTTGACCTTCCAAGTTTCAGCTCTTTGTCTTCCTGTGTTTTAAGTGTCTGGGACTCAGTGTCTACTTTGGGTACCACGGTCTATCTCGGTCTCGCCAGGAGGTCTTCTAGAGAAGTGTGCCTCTTACCCAGGGATCCTGCCCAGTGGCCAGATTCTGTAGCTGTGACTGGACCTCCAGGACAGTAGTGGACCACCTTCCTGACTTGCCCAGCTTATTGCTCCCTGCTGATAGCTCTGCCCCCACTATGATAGCTGGGCCCTGAGAATTCCCCTACCAAAACCCAGATAAGGACTATTTCCTAAATCAGATCAAGGTTGCCTTGTCCATTGGATGTTGTGTTTGGTCCCTAGATTGGGCTTTGTAGCTGGATTGGGCTCTCAGCATGCTCTGCTCTCATGAGCAGGCCTGGCCAGGACTCAGCTCCCTTCTCTATATAGCCTTTGTGCTCTTTTGAGTCATAGTAGGTGGTACTCAAAACTATACTCTTTGAAATGGAGAAGGGGACACTAAAAGGCAGCAGAAGAGGGACCTCTTTAAACACGTATCTTCAAGTATTTCAAAGGTTGCCATATAGGGAAAGTACTGGACTTGTTCTGTATAGCCCTGGATATCAGAACCAGGACGCCAGCTAGGTTGCAGCGACTGAGCCTTCCTTACTGCTAGCTCAAACCTAGCAGTGCTTCCAAGAGGTAGAAAGGGATTCCTTCTGGAAGCCTTTCCTTATGGGAAGGAATCTGGCATAGGCTGGAATACCAGGTCTAAGTTTCGTTTATTGATTTCCACTACAGCATGGATAAGGATAGTATTTACTTGGCTGGCATTTGCACGCATGATATATTGCCATGGTAATATGTCTATCATGAGCGACCTGCAATCCTACTCCTTTCTCCGTCTTCAGGGACTGCAACTGAGAGTGGCTTTATTGTAGCACTATCCTCGAGTCTGCTCTGATTTTTTAAAATTTACTCAATCAGCGAATAAATATTGAGTGATTATTATATCTTAGGCACTGTGATTCATTCATCGCTCAGTACTTTTAACTGCTACATTTAGCCAAGTATTTTTGACATTGCACTCATGAACTGGATGTTACAGACATTGTAGAAAGTGTTCAGGTATCAAGTGACGTTGATTTATAGCTCACCTTTACATTTCTTTTAAATTTAAGAATTACTCATTGAGCTCCTTGAGTCTAGTCTCCTACTGAGTAGATGTCTAGCCTCTCAAACATGAATTTGGATTCATGTTTCTTAAGTCTGTGCTACCAGATCCCAGTGTTTATCTACACAGATAGCAGAGAGGTTTGCTGTCAATGTCATCACTACTTCCTTAGGAGGGACTGTAGGGCATAGTTTTGAAGAAATGCTCCTCTCCCTAAACTTCCCCTCAGCAATGGCAGCTGGGGCTTGGGCCATGCCATCTGTCAGGTGCATAGTCCCAGTGGCCCAGAAATAGAATTCTATTTCAGATCCTCTGAGAGGCTTTAGCCAGAACAAGCCTTCAGGTTAGTAGGCAAGAAGCATCATGAATTACTGGAGTTCGTTTGTCGGAGCCTCTTATGAATGACATCATCCATGTTAAGAAGCTGGTAGGAGTCCTCATGAGGACTGTCAGTGAAATCGGTATACAAGAAGCAGTGCTAAGATTGGCCTTCTACTGGCTTAGTGAATGCAGGGTAGGGGGCCAGTTATATTTGATTAGATACCTTGTTTCAGAAGTCCAAAATTCCATTCAGTGGGAAAAGAAATCAGCATTGAAAGCATAGGATTGCTATTTGATTGGATCAATCATTGTTTGCAGTAATTAACTGCTGTCCACACTCAGAGATATAGTCATGAGGATGAGAGAGGACCTGAAGGAATATTTGGTCCATGCAGAGTTATACTCAGGTTGTCTCAGTCAGACTGTGATAGTTTTCAGTGGATCCAGGAGACCCTTCCTCAGTACAGTGATTCCAGCTACAATTATACTTGGGTTTGCCATATTTATTTCAGATCGATCTAGAAAATGACTGACATTGTAATGTGTAATGTCCACATTCCTTAGGATATTGTTTTGGTAACACCTTTATTGGGATATAATTCACATCCCGTTTAAAGTGTGCAATTTAATGGTTTTTAGTGTATTCACAGAGCTGTGCAGCTATCACCACGATCAATTTTAGAACATTCGAGTTACCTCAAAGAGGAACCACACAACTCTTAGCTGTCATTCGCGTGACGATCATTCCCCAGCCCTAAGCAACCTATATATTTGCCCATTTTGGACATTTCATGTAAACGGAATCACAATATGTGATATGTGGGACATGTGAGACAATATGTGGGGTTTTTTGTGACTGACATTTCAAACTTAGCGTGTTTGCAAAGTTCGACTGTGTTTTAGCATGTATCGGTACTTCATTTCACTTTATGGTCAAACAATATTCTTTCATATGGATATACTATATTGTGTTTATTCATTCACCAGTTTATGGACCTTGCTACTGTTTCCATTCTGGGGCTATTATGGATAATGCTGCTATGAACATCCACATACAAGTTTTGTGTGGACTTAACATTTTCATTTCTCTTGGTATATACCTAGGAGTGGAATTACTGGGTAAAATCACTCGATGTTTCACTTTTTGAGGAACAACCAGGCTGTTTTCAAAGTGGCTGTACCATTTTACATCCCCATCAGCCAGGTATGAGTGTTCTGATTTCTCCACATCCTCACCAACACTTGCTACTATCTTAGATTTGTCAATTATAGTCATCCTAGTGGGTATGAAGTGATATCTCATTGTGGTTTTGATTTGCATTTCCTTGATGAGGCATCTTTTCATGTGCTTATGTGGCCGTATTTATTTGGCGAAATGTCTGTTCAAATCTTTTGCCTGTTTTTGGTTGGGTTGTCTTTTCATTATTGAGTTATAAGAGTTCTTTGCATATTCTAGATAAAAGTCCTGTATCAGATATGATTTACACATATATTTTTTCATTCCTTGGGTTGTCTTTTCACGTTCTTGGTACTATCCTTTAAAACATAAAAATGTTTTTAATTTTGATGAAACTTAAATTACCTATTTTTCTTTTGTTACTTGTGCTTTTGGTATTACATCTAAAACACCAGTGCCAAATCTGAACTTACGAAGATTTACCCCTATGTCTTCTTCTAAGAGTTTCGTAGTTTTAGTTCTTAAATTTAGGCATTTGATTCATTTTTGAGTTAACTTTTTTATACAGTCTGAGTTGAGGATCCAACTCCATTCTTTGGCTATCAGTTGCCCCGTAATCTTTTGCTGAAAAGACTATTCTTTCCCCATTGAATAGTCTTGGCACCTTTGTCAAAAAATCAATTGGCCATAGATATATGGGTTTATTTTAGGGTGCTGAATTCTGTTCCACTGATCTAGATGTCTACCCTATGCTGGTACCACACTGTCTTGATTACCTTGTTTCCTTGGAATAAAAACATAACTTGTGAAATTCATGTTCTGAAAATGCAAAATTATGCACCACTTTTATGTTATTAAATTAGCTGTCAAATAATATGTTCAGTTTTCAAATCAGACTCTTTACTCCTGTCTAGTAATACAGATAGTATATGCAAACATATTATTTCCCATACATATTAATAAGATTTGGCATTTTAATAAAAATGTTTATTCTTTTCATTTTATTTTTTTACTGTAGCGATTTGCTTTAGATAATAAATCTTTCTCACATCTCTAACGAATTCAAGAGAGTTCTCTGGGACTGACAATGGTAACATGGGGAAGTGGAGAGGTTTGGAATCCACATCTAAATATATCTGTATGGCAGGAGTTCAGGAGGAGGTTTGATTTGAAATCTAATGAAAGATGGAAAGATGGCTTGAGAAAGCCTCTTGGCTGTCAAGCCCTTCACCCAGAGAAGCCCTGCCCTCTTAGTTTGCATGACTGACAAAGACTTGGAGTGGAGTTGGAGAAAGACCGCCCGTGACTATGTGTCTTGTTCTAATCTTTTTAGACTTACTTTTAAAAAAGAAAATAAAAATGTAGCTGAATGCAGTGGCAAACAAAAGGCGGCCATGTCTCACTTGGTAACTGTCAGGGAAACAATTGATGTACCTAAAGATAATATAAATAATCTGCTGATTCTGCTATGGAAGAAAGCAACACTGAGTCTAAGAGATCATATGTGGTCCTAATAAAAGAACATCACTAGATGCAAATCTAGAAGGCTGGAATTCTGTTCAGTTTTTTATATTGTAAATCAGGAATTAATATATCAGTCTGTAAAATAATGCGTGGTTCTGAATCTTAGACAACATCCAGGATATTCTCCTTGTAGATTCATTTATTTATTCATTTCATCCTTCTGCCCTTCTCCCTTCGTCACTGTACTTTTCATGGTATCTTATGTACAAGAGAGGTTCAGTACAGGAGATGTATTTTAGAGGATGGGAAGAGAATTGGAAAGGAGAGGGGGATGGAGAAAAGGCAGGGCACCAGACACAGAGCAGAAAAACAGATGGGAGATCAACTGAAGTCATTCCTGTGGTCTCCTCTATTCCCGCACATCTTCCCCATTTCCACAGTGGAACGGATGAAGGAACCACTCAGGATTAGATCGGTGTGCCATTCGGGCCACACCGTTCATGCTGTATCAACGATACTGTTGTTCGTAAGACATTTTCACAATTAAATCACAGCTTACCTTACCTCGAAGCATACCCTTTTCAGATAAATCACTTGTTTTATTCTCAAATTCAGACAACAGTTATTTGAATTTTAGTATCACTACAATAACACATAGATTTCTTTGTCATGAAACTAGGAAAAATGGGGAAAGAGCAAGTAAATTGATGTGTATTTGATTAGACATTGACTTGGCTGCTATTTCGGAGGAATTTTTTTATTCATTCACTACTATGTGTAGTTTTTCCTCTACTTTGTAGTTTTGCTTTGTTCAGGAAGGAATATAAAGCTCAGTGTTTGGCATAAATGTGCCAGCATTTTTACAGTGAACTGGACCAGTATCTGTCACAGTCTCTATCCATCTGTCTTTTTTTTTTTTTCCCCCCTAACTTTTTTTCTCTTTGGTTATAGGCCAAGAAGGAAGGGAGAACATTCACCACCACCACGTTTCAAAGGGAATACATTGCCAGCATTTTGAATACTTATTTGGACAAACATTTCTTCAAGGTAAATATTACCATTGTACCAGTGATGGGGGCACATCATTAGAATTTACAGATTGCAGTGGTAGTGCACAAAGGCTTAATTGTTTAGTCTGGTACAAACCTAGAGTGATAGGAGAGAAAGAAGGAGAGGGAGCTGGAGGGAAGAAAATAGCACTTTGGGATATCCTGCGGTCTCTTCTAAATGTGTTACCAGGAGAATGCCGTCAGAATCTGGGAGCCCACTGAGCTGGACTCAAAATGTGTGGGAAAAAGGGGAGAAAGGGGAATCTGTATTTTTGTCTTTGTGTCAGTGTCTCTCAGATATTCATGAAAACAAAAGGCAGTGTGGTCTAATTGTAAAAATAGCATTTCTTCTTTTATGAGGAAAGAGTTGGGTAATTCCTTTTAGGGATTAAAATAAGATGTATGTTGTATTCACATCACAAGGGGGAAGAAGCCTGAATCATAGTATTTTACACCAACTAAGACTTACAAATATGGGAGAGTTTAAAAGAAATCTGTGTTCTTCTTTTATGAAAATACCTACTAAGTAAATCTTTCATTGGCTGGTGATAAATGCTTCATGAATGATGTCCTTTTTTGGAACATTATATTCGCGATGCCTCTTTTGGGGGGAGGGGAAGGGGTGTGTGTGTGTGTGTGTGTGTGTCTGTGTGTCTGTGTGTATGAGACAGAGAGACAGAGACAGAGAGACAGAGAGAGAATAAATATGAGACAGAGACACCAAAGAGAAATCTGTCAGCATCATACTGTATGTTTCAGAGAAATAACTCCAGGCATTTTCTTTATGAATCATGAGCTTGGCGAGAATAAAGATCTTCACAGAAGCAGCTGAATTCCTAGTCAGCTCCATCACTCATGAATTAGCTGTCAATATTTTAACACAAATTGCTGTGTCATTTTTATGAAGTTCCCCTGTTGCTGCTCAGTCTGTAGCTAAAAGCTGTTTTCACCAGCCCCTGAAATTATAGTGGATGAACTGCCTTCTTCCTTCGAGAAAGATATTTGTGTGCACTCACACACAGAAATGCAAAAATCTACCATCCAATTTCAAAGAAAATAAACTTGTCAACTTTCTCTGTTTAGCAGTTGATATAGAGTTGACGGTACTTGGTCCTGAGCCGGCCAGAATGCAATTCCAGATTGGCAGGGAGAGAAGAATGTTCTCCACCCCAGCCTTCATCCTGCCTGTTCCCTTCTGAAGGGGTTGGGTCGGGAAAGTGGAGGCGGTACATTAGAGGAGAATTTTGTGATACTATTCATTCTCTGTTCTGACAGAGAAGACATTGTTTATTCACTGTAATAGGCTTGGCAGGAATCTGTGCTGTGCATACAGAATGGAAACATCGCAGAGCAGTGGGGAATCTCAAAATCCTAAGCAATGGATCAGCTTAGAGCTTTTTTAAAAAATATATTCTAATAGCCTCCATGACTGTAGATGCAAGTCATCATTCGGGGAGATAGTTTTCCTTGGAGTAATTGTTTGCCTCACAATTGCATTATGCATGTCTCACATGGAAAAAGTCCTTAAGAGAGCAGCCTGCCGATCGCAATACTGTAGTGACAAAAATTAAAATCGTGAAAGGTGAGAAATACGTTCTAAACGCACTAGACCTGCTTTGAGATCGCTCCCTACATATAAGCATTCAGGTGTCGGTATCAACGAAAAATAACCCGTGCATGTCATCGGATGATTCACAGAAACAAGTGGGAGCTGCCTGAGATAAGAGAAAAAAAGACACATTAAAAGATGTGCCTTGGGGTAAGAAGTGCCCCGCCAGAGACAGTGTGAGAGGGCGCCGTGCTCAGAATGTTCCAGAACTTTAAAGGCAACAACTGTAAAAGCCAAGGTTCAAAGCAGTGTGCAAACCCTGCAGTGGCCTGGGGTTTGTGCTTCTTAAAAGCTCTGCGTTTATCCCACTCCACCACTTCCCTGAGCACAGCACCAGGTGTCTGGGACTCGGGCTGTGTGTGTGTGTGTGTGTGTGTGTGTGTGTGCATTTGTGTCTCTCACCAGAGCAGATGAAGGTGTTGCCAGGCTGCAGGCTGCCATGTTCACAGACACAGCACGTGAGCTGATCCAGGGGAGCCCCGAGAGCAAGTGTGCCCAGCCACCCCAAGCCAAGTTCACCAGCCCCTGTCCTTATGCTCAGAGAGAGATGTGTCATATTCCCCAGTCTTGGCTGGTATTTGTAAGATCTCCCTGCATCTCTTTTTACAAGAACTATATGATATAAATTCTGCCATTTCTAAAATTACAGTTACGATTACATCAGTATACAGTCAGCTATTAGATGATAGCAAACCAGTCTCAGCTTTTTATGTAACTTATATAAGGATTAGTCTTACACACCTAATGAAGATCTTTTATTCTACAACTTAGGACATTATTCATGTACATTACCTGCTTTGTTTTTTCTTTTCAAGAAATGTACGTTTCCTTAAGACATATTTGACAATCTTTATATATATATATTTATTAACCTTTTAAAAATATATAAAATATATTTATATGATGCTATTTTCAAGTAAATACCAATGACATCAAGAAAAATTAATCAAGATTTACCGAACTATTTCCCTCTATTGTGCCAATCTTTTGGGCACATTTATTTTGTCTGTTTTAAAGCTAGTTTTATTTTATTATTTTTAACAACTGAGGTAAGGACTATGAAGGGAGGTGAGGCAGAGGCAGGACCAGCCCCTACTGCTCCTGCCAGGGGCTCCTGGGAGGCGCTGCCCGTGAAGCAGGACAGGAGAGCCCTGAGAGACGCAGTTTGCAGGGCAGTTGCTGGCCCACCTGTGATTCTGGCAGCCCTGCCTCTTGTTCTGCCTCCGTATTCCCGTTCTGCTGGAATCTCTGGTAACTGTGCACGAGGCCTGCTCATTAGTGTGTGCAAGTAACAGCCAGGCTCTCCATCACAGGCTACCTCAGCCCGCCAGAAAGTCAGCATGTGCACCTCTGGAAGCAGCACTGCCAAGCCTGGCCTCATTTGTAGCCTTGTAATTAGTCAGGCCTGGCTGTCTCAAAACGAGGAGCGCGACGGTCTTGTTTTCACCAATGTTGTGTGTCATCTTTGTCTATTATGAAAGGAGACATATACCAATAGAGGGAAATTGGAGTAAACACAATGATACTATCCTATTTAACCAACACATATTGCATGTACAGTGAGGCAAGCACTGGTCTCAGCACTTTGCAAATATTAAATCATTTAATCTGCCAGACTGCTCTACTACTACTATTATGATTATTCCCATTTTACTGGAAAGGAAGCTGACGCTCAGAGAGGGTGAGTAACTTGTCCAAAGTCCCACAGGCGGTGAGGGCAGAGAACACAGCAGCAGTGCCACCTGTGCCGGAGTCTTGGCCTTAAGGGTTCCGTGTGCCCGCCCCCAAGGTGGCTACTGTGCCACAGCAGATCTTGCTGAACTGTCACATCCCTTTGGGGTCTATAAGCACACCTGCCAGTCTGCAGAGGTACACACGATGTGTGACATTGCTGGGTTTGGAACTGTACACCCTCTGTCTCTTGGTGTTTATGTCAGTGGAAGAAGGATTTGTAACCACTGTCCTTCCAGAATTCAAAGTGGGTACGGATTAATGCTTCCTGGGAAACCCAGGCTTCCAGGCCCTGCCCCCCGGGGCTGTCAGGTGAGCTGTACTGCACAGCATCACTCAGCAGCACTGGGACAAAGGCCAAGGGTGGTTGCCATCCCTCTTCCTCTGCACTTTTTCACTAGGTCCTGTACCTTGACGGATGGTGGCTCTGAGGGCAGCAGTGTTGCTGGACTTGACAACATTGAGAGAAGCCACTATTCAGGCTGGTGTGTCAATGACTTGGACGTTTGACCGTTCCTCTCTGTCACCTGCCGTGGGGAGTTAGATAGCTGCCTCGCCTTACCTTAATCCTGACCTTCCCAAAGCGTGTTCTGAGCCGTGTTAATGGGTTCAGCTCTCCACAGTGCTCCTAGAAAAGAAAAGAAAGAAAAGTTTTTATTTATGATCGGCTATATTTGACAGATGTGGTTTAAACAAAAATTGATCTACTTACTGCGGGTTTCTCAGAAGTTTCTTCTGTCCTTCCAAAGCAAGATGTAGAAGGCAGAATTTCCTAAATTTCCTATTCTCTCAGGTAGGGAGAAACATCTAGCGACATCCCTTGGGTGGAGAAGAGACAAGAAAACCCAGTGTCACAGGAGGTAATCAGGTATTAAAGAAAGACCAATATGCTACATTCGGGATTCCTAAATTCTAGCCCATCTTTAAATATGGAGGATAGAATGGTGTTATCTCTAAGTTCTTTTCATCTTTATCAGCTGGAAACTTTGTTTATATTCTCCAAAAGGGCTTTCAAGAGTTAGACGCAATATACAGCACATCAAGACAGAGTAAGTTTTAAAAAGGTAGGGGTAAAATGAGGCACAAGGAATAGAAGGTAGGAAAGATGGGGGAAGGAGGGAGATTAGTGTGCAGAATGAATTCTGTAGAAGCCTTCATGGTTGATCTGAAAGAACGGAACATTGTTCTATGTTTTCTAATGAACAGTTTTGGGTTTGTTTTGTTTTGTTTTTTTTGCCGTGCGCGGGCCTCTCACTGTTGTGGCCTCTCCCTTGGCGGAGCACAGGCTACGGATGCGCAGGCTCAGCGGCCATGGCTCACGGGCCCAGTCACTCCGCGGCATGTGGGATCTTCCCGGACCGGGGCACGAACCCGTGTCCCCTGCATCGGCAGGCGGACTCTCAACCGCTGCGCCACCAGGGAAGCCCTCTAATGAACAGTTTTAAAAAAACTCTGATCATAGATTCATGATTAACAGGGTCCTAAGCAAGGAACAAACAGATTTTCGCCGGAGAAACAACTATTCCCAGTTTTGAGATCAAAATTTTCCCATGGTTTTTTAAATCTGTGGCCTTTTGGTCTTTTACGTAGAAATTTTGTCTCTGTGACAGGCTGGTACCAAAGAGATTTGGAACCTCCATAGACATGCTTCAGAGGTA